TCACATCTGTTTGTCTGTTGCCAAAAGAAATGTAGTTCCAGGAAACAATTTAAGAGATCATGAAATAACCAAGCAATGGTTAATTTAAGAAAGTGCTCATGCACAAAATCAAGTAGACAGCCACTATTCTCTCACCCCTTCCTAAACATATATAATTCCATCAACAAAAATATTATTTTAGTCTGATGATGTCCTAAAGGATGAAATGTGTTGCACAAAAGTTTTTCCACTTTGTCATTAATTTTCCTACATTGTTCCAATACATAAAACTTTATCATATTTTCCCAAAAATATATATATGGTAGAGATGAGAGAGAAAGATATATTAAACAGGTGATTAATATTTACTAGATTAGAGATTGAAAGTCTTATTTAAAATATGCCTCTTAGCAGGAGTCAAACCTGTTTCCCAGATTAAAAGGGCATACAGGTTCGATTCATGTCAAGACTTTTGATTTCTAAGCTGGTGTGTTTATGTACATGCTGGTACAAATCTTACACTTGAATTAGAAAAGGATATACTCTTGAGAAATGGCACCTGGAGTAAATTAACATATTATCTTCCATAATTAAACCAACAAATTTTAAAAATGATATATTGTTATATGCAGAAACATTACAATAAATATAAAAGTTACTGTTTTTCAATGGTAATGCAACTTTTGGAACCCCTTGTATACATACCTAAACAAACACACACACACACACACATATATATATAGCTAGCTTTTGGTAAGTTTATTTCCTACATAACCTTCCTGTGTGTGAGTAATTGTAAGCTGTTGCTAATTTGCTCAATCTTGACATAATCTAATAAATTTGGGCTTTCTTTATATTACTATCTTCCAAATGCTTTTAACAGGAGCAGTGCCAGGTAACCTTGCTGATATTTATGTACACATATAAAATAAATCTAAGAACAAGTCATTTCTTTCCCCTTCTCTGATGCAAAACTCACTCAGTATTAGTTTTTATTTCATTTTGTCCATTCGTACACAATCCAAAAACTGGATATATTTAGCACCAGAACAGATTACATTCTCAACAACAAGTAAATCTTTTACTTTGTTCAGGCAAATTTATAGCAGTATTTTGTCTATTGGATCCAGTGAAGCATTTCAACCCTACCATGGCAACCCAGCCCTTTTTATAGAGGGAGGAAATTTTTAACGAGCAACACTGGATGCATAAAAATGGGGTTTGTCGGAAGAGTAGGAGGGGTGAATTCTCTTCTATGCTTAAACCAGCTTGGTCAGTTCTGGCATATTCCCTTGCAATGATCTGCAGTCTTAGGCTGATAAACAGCCTCCATTTGTTTTTATAAGATTTGTTTGTGACCATCAAATCCAGTATCAAAACAGTTTTCAAGATCATCATAAAACTGCTGGATAATTTTATTCTGTCTTATCCTATTTTAACACGGGTAATTATGGGTAAATACAAACCAACAATTTTACAATGGTGCTGTTGCTGCTTCCAGATGCCATGCCCCTTCAGGACATGGGTGATCATGACTTGCCCCAACCTCCTATACTTTGTAGCCCATAGCAAGGTTTGACCCTGTTAAGCTTCCCACATCCATTCTGCTATCCATTCAAACAATCGCATCAGGTAAGTAGCCTGCTGCCTTCTTCTGACCCTCAACATATGCTGTGAGTGTCAAATTATCAAAGCCCTCCTTCCTCATGATGTGCTCAAGAAATTTTTAGCTGTCTCCTTATGATTGCAACTATAAGTATCCTTTTTGTTTCAATTTTCTTTAAGACTTCTTCATTGCTTATGTACTCCATGGAATTCTCAGCATCCTTCTGTAGAACCACATTTCTATTGCCTCCAGGTTCCTCTTCATCTGTTAGGAGATTATCCAGCTTTCACTGCCATACAAGAGGATTAATATTACACAACAGTTCAGCACTCTTTTATAATGTTGATATTCTTGTGAACAGTAGACTAAGAAACATATATTTTATAATTCTTCATGGTATAGACCCACTCAAGTGAAAAAAGAAAAAAAAAGCTAAAGATCCCATCCCACACACACAAAACATTCTCTGAACTAACATATCAGTCAAAATTTGTCAAACTGTTCTTGAGGTATTTTGTGAACAACACACAACTAATTATAATGACCTTCTTTTGCCATGCTGGGGTAAAAAGAAGAGAAGCATATGTATTTCTGTTGTGTTTGTCATCTAAAAAAAGAAGGATTTTTTTCTGACCTTTTTACCTGTGACTCACTGGGATCAAAATGTGCTTCTTTTAGCCTCTTAGTGTAGAGAGTTAGACCTGCTTGTTGAAATAAACTATCAAAGTAACTTCTTCCTATTTTTTCCATAAACACTTCAATATATTAGACTCAAATGTTATAACTTGTGATAATAGTTAATAGATGAGTAATATATAGGATAGATATAATTTTGATTTAAAAAAATCCTACTTTAATTAAAAGAGAAAGCAATTTACTAAGACAAAATTTATGTCGAAGTTCTTACAACATTTCACCTTTCTTGGTAGATCTATTTTCACAATGTTTATGACATAAAAAAAAACAAACAAAAAGAAAAAAGACTAAATAAAATCAGCTAGACTATATACCTGTTGTAACCTAGGGAAGGTTATTGAATAGAATAATCACACAGAGGTTGATAATGAATGATAATAGCTAGGAAAAGAACAACCCATATAAAATTCACCAGCAGTGAGTAGAAGAAGTAGTCAACTGCTAGAATTGTCAAGTGAATTCCACAATAAATCTCCAACTGCAGACCAACATACAGTACTTACTACTGTATTTATGTGAATGGGGGCATACCCATTATCGTCTGTAGGTATGCTACAACAATACCCAAAAAACATATTTTAAAAAGTAAAAAAAGATTTTAATCTAAAAGTTTAAAATTTCAGTTTCCCCCTCTTCTTCATGTGCATGTGTAATAACAACAATATAAATATCACTGAAGTCCTAAAGGACGAAATATGTCACACAAAAGATTTTTTCCATTTTGTCATATATTTTCCTAAATTTCTTCTGATATATGAAAATTTAGATATAATTTTTCCATAGATGTATATGTATTATATAATTAATGGCTCTTTCTATGTAATCAATGAAGTTTTTTTTTATACAAAATCATTTCCTATGACTCCAATTATTATTTTGTGGACACCCATGTTTGTGGAGATGCTTTTTTTTTTTTTTAAACAGTGTAAATTATGTGTACCAGTTTGTGCATTAGAGTCACTTGACTTAACCAAAAAAAACAAAAAAAAAAAAAAACCCTTTCCAGCAGGATTTGAACCTGTGATCTTTGGTGGTTTCTCTTGCAAAGAGGAGATGCAGGTTTGAACCCTGCTAGAGAGCACATTTTCTTCATTTAGACTCTATAATGTGCAGACATAATTCATATTTTTTATCATAATATGTAAATGACTGCCTAATTAGCATAATTAAAGCATAGACTATATAAATGCCCAAGCAGTAAGGGTAGGGCAGCTCTCGGTATGCAAGATAAATAAATTCCACTGGACTGATAAAAGATTAAGGAAAGTACACTTCATAACACTGTTAAAAAAAAAAAAAAATCAGGGAGTCTATTCAGACATGGGTATCCACAAAATAGTATTAGGAGTAGCCCAATGCATTATTCAAGGTATATCTTTAGATAATTTTTTTTATTTAATTTTTGTTTTGTATTAAAATATTTGCATATTAAAAAATCATTGCAGAATATAATTTAGAGCTGTTAAAATTCAAACTATTACTATTAAATGCAAAGGCCAAGTTTCTATAACCTGTAACATTAAAGGGTGATCTACTTGAGAATGAAACTGTTAAGAACTATCCAAAAGAAAAATGTAAAATAACTGCCTATAATTTTCAAAGTTCTTTTCTAATCTTATTTTTATGTAGATGTCTATATAATTTGGGTCCTTTTTCCTCCACTTAGTTGAGACTATCGGATGATGCCAAAAGTGCCAAAAGAAACATTTAAGAATAACGATCACTTATATGAAGGTAAGTTTTTCAAAATAAGACATCTACAACAGAGCTATAGAATTAATGGATACTGAGATGATGACGAAATAGATTGTGAAGAATAATGGATTCTGAGATGGCGCAGAGGGATGGAGAAAGATGCTGACATGATGAGGAAAGAAAACGAAAGAAATAAAGGATTCTAAGATAATAGAATAGTGAGGCAATAAAAAAGAAGACAAATCCAGGATTGAAGAATAGAACACAAATGAAAGCGTGACAAAATAAATGATTTAAAGTAAAAAGAAAGAAAATAGGAGAAACAGTTTACAAAAAGAAAAAGAAAGGAAAATTGAATAACATGAAATGAATGAAAATTAGAAAAGAGAAAATTGCATAAGCTATATATATATATATATATATATGCACACACACACATGCATGCATACAGAGAAGATACAAAAATGAAAAAGTATAAAGTAAAGGAAATAAAATGAAAAGCAACAAAAGATAAAAAAAAAAAATGAAATTAAAAGAAATGAAAAGGAAGAAAACGAAAAAAGTATGATATAAAAAGAAAAGGAAATAAAAGAGAAAGAAAGGAAAAGAGATATGGAAATAAAAGAAAAAAGTGTAAACGAAAAAGTAAAAAAAAAGAAGTGAAAAGGAAAAGAAAGAAGTGTAAAGGAAAAAGGAAAAGACAGAAGGAAAAAGGAAAAGACAGAAGGAAAAAGGAAAAAGAAAAAACAATTGTAAAAGAAAAAACAGAAAGAGAAAGGAAAAGAAAGGAAAAAGGAAAAGAAAGAAGTGTAAAGAAAATGAAAAATAAAGCACTGTAAAGGAAAAGGAAAAGAAAGATGTAAAAAGGAACAGAAAGATGTGAAAAGAAACAGAAAATGTAAAAGTAAAGGAAAAGGAAGAAGTGTAAACAAAAAGGAAAAGAAAGATATGAACCATTCAAAAGAAAAGCAGGAATGTCTAAGTAAATGTAGCAGTTCTTGAAGAAAATCATTGGAATCAATCTTCAGGTAAAGAAAGACAGACAGACAAGGAGGGAGAATTGGAGAGAAGGTGTGTTAGAGCTGGGATGGAATAAGTAAGGTAGATGACAGTGCAAGCAATTAGTGGGTGGTGGAGACAGTGGAGGGTAGGGCATGTCAAACAGAGGAAACTCTGAGAGTGAGAGCAAGGGAGGGTGGTGACTAAGGTGGACAAAAAGGGGCGAATAGTGTGGAAATTGGGTGGAGAGGAAATTTTCTGCACAAGTCCATTTTCGAGAAAGAGGAGTACACATCAACTGATGGGAGAGACATAGTGTGTAAAGTAAGTTGGGTGGACAGACACACAGATTGTGGGGCTGAAAAGGGTGGGATAAGGGGTGGCAAATGAGTCGTGGGGGAGCAGAGAGATCTTGGAAATAGATGGAGGAGTTGTTATTGGCGGGTGACTGTGCTGGAGTTGGTGGTCCCTGTCAATCCATAATATAGTCACTATAGCCTCAGGCGGCTGAGTCACCATCAGAAATTTCTGCCAGGGAAAAGGAAAAAGGATAACAAGAAGAAAAGAAAGATTATGAAAGAGGAGGAGAAGAAGGAACTGAAGAGGGACAGAAGAAAAGGAAAAGAAAAATGATAAAAAAAGAAGAGAAAGACAAAAATAACAATGTAAAATAGAAAAAGAGAGAAAAATTAACAAAGAAAAAGAAAACAAAAAATAGAAGCAGAGAGAAGAGTGAGAATGTCGAAAACCAAAGTAGTGAGATCAGAAGGATTACAGAGGGAGAAGGAGAGGAGGGGAGTGAGCAGAGAGCAAGGAGAGGGATCAGAGAGAAAGTGTGTATAGTAAGTGAACTTAGAAAGGGTGGAGAGAGAGAGAAAGGAAGACAAGAGAAAAACAGCCAAGAGAGCAGAGAGAAAGAAAAGAAAGAGAGAGAGAGAGAGAGAGAGCAAAGATTAAGAAAAGAAAGAGAGAGAGACAAAAGGAGAAAGAGAGAGAGAGAGAGAGAGACAAAAGGAGAGAGAGAGACAAAAGGAGAGAGAGAAAGAAAAGAAAAAAGAGATGGAGAAGAGGGAGCTAAGAGAAAAGAAGAAATGTTCTAGAGAAAGATTTGAAATGGAGAAAGGTAAGGGAAGTCAAGTGAAAGGAGCGAGAGAGAGCTCAGAAAGGCAAAACAGAGAGGGGTAGAGAAGAAAAGAAGTTGAGGTACGATAAGAAGAGATACAGGGAACAGATAAGGAGAAGAGATATAGAGAACAGAGAAAGAGAAGAGATATAGAGAGAAGAGAAGGGGAAAAGATATAGAGAGAAGAGAAGGGGAAAAGATATAGAGAAAAGAGAAGGGGAAAAGATATAGAGAAAAGAGAAGGGGAAAAGATATAGAGAGAAGACAAGGGGAAGAGAGTTGAGAGGGAGAAGTGAAAGGAAGAGAAGCTGAGAGAAAGAGTTGAGATAGGTAAAAAAAAAAAAAAAAGGATCCAAAAGTAAGAAGGGAGAGAGAGCCCAGAAAGGTGAGAGATAGAGATAGAGACCAAATAAAGAAAAGAAATAGAGGACAGAGAAGGAAAGGTAATATAGAGAACAGAGAAGAGGAAGGGATAGAAGAAAAGGGGAAGGGATAGAAGAGAACAGAGAAGGAGAAGGGATAGAAGAGAAGGGGAAGGGATAGAAGAGAACAGAGAAGGGGAAGGGATAGAAGAAAAGGGGAAGGGATAGAAGAGAACAGAGAAGGGGAAGGGTTAGAAGAGGAGGGGAAGGGATAGAAGAGAAGAGGAAGGGATAGAAGAGAACAGAGAAGGGGAAGGGATAGAAGAGAAGGGGAAGGGATAGAAGAGAACAGAGAAGGAGAAGGGATAGAAGAGAAGGGGAAGGGATAGAAGAGAAGGAGAAGGGATAGAAGAAGGGGAAGGGATAGAAGAGAACAGAGAAGGGAAGGGATAGAAGAGAACAGAGAAGGGGAAGGGTTAGAAGAGAAGGGGAAGGGATAGAAGTGAAGAGGAAGGGATAGAAGAGAACAGAGAAGGGGAAGGGATAGAAGAAAAGGGGAAGGGATAGAAGAGAACAGAGAAGGGGAAGGGTTAGAAGAGAAGGGGAAGGGATAGAAGAGAACAGAGAAGGAGAAGGGATAGAAGAGAAGGGAAGGGAGAAGAGAACAGAGAAGGAGAAGAGAACAGAGAAGGAGAAAAGAACAGAGAGAAGAAGGGATAGAAGAGAAGGGGAAGGGATAGAAGAGAACAGAGAAGGAGAAGGGATAGAAGAGAAGGGGAAGGGATAGAAGAGAAGGAGAAGGGATAGAAGAGAACAGAGAAGGAGAAGAGAACAGAGAAGGAGAAAAGAACGGAGAAGAAGAAGGGATAGAAGAGAAGGGGAAGGGATAGAAGAGAACAGAGAAGGAGAAGAGAACAGAGAAGGAGAATAGAACAGAAAAGGGGAAGAGATATAGGGAGCAGAGAAGAACAAAAGATAGCGAGAGCAGGGAAGAGAGTGCACAGATGATAAAAGGAGAATACACAGAGGAAAAAGAAAAG